GGTTGGGCCATAATTTTTAAACCAACCATTTGCAGATATAGTTAAATCTCGAGCGGAATTTAAAAACAAAAAGCCTCTAGCTAGAAGACATTCCAATGAATACAAGCAGTTTTCGCTTACCTTGTATTTTTTAGGATCTAGGCAATGTTCCTTTGTCTAAAATGTTGGGCCTTTTGTGTGTACTTTTCATATTGAGACTTTTAATAATTTGATTTTTGTAATACTTGTTTTTCGTAATTTGGTTGAATTAAAATTAATAGTCAGTATGGGTACGTGTTTTATTTATAACAACCTTTTTCCTACAGTACTTTTCTTCAAATCTCAATTTAATTCAAAATTCTAATAATTATGCATCTAAAAATGCAAATTTATGTGTACAACAAATTCATATGATTATAAACAAATCATAAATCTAGTCTGGATTTATGATATACAGCTATGAGGATGTGCCATAATATAAGTATTCCAAAATAAAGTCCTAAGCTGCATCATTGATGCACCCTGGTTTTATCTGAACGATTATCTTCATACAGACATGAAGATGCCAAGAGTCAAAGAAGAAATAAACAGGTTACTGCAAAACATGAAGAAGTGCTGCAGTTACTGGACAACTCTGCACTCAACAGAAGACTCGAAAGAAATAAAAGCCATTTGAGTTAGTGCAGTAAACGTTAGTGCTAGTGTAAAACAGTGTAATAAATCGTTACGTCAATTATTGGTGATACTTTTCTATCAACGACGAACAACTACTAGATTAATTTTGTTTACAAAAATTGAATTGCAAACAATCACGGATTTATCCACCGAGTTGTCAAATTATTATAAGAGAGTATGGGCGAAAGTCTTATTACAAGGATTGTTTATGGTATTATTGACACATCATAAGACTCTAAAACACATTATCAAAAGTACAGTTGGGAAGTGTATTTGCAGTCTTATTGCCAGTTATTATCAGTTTAATCTATTTTTCTAGATCCAACTATCATAGTTGAAAGTGTTTTCCAGGAAAGTACACAATTAATTAATACATCAATAAATTGTCATAGAATCACTCTGTTAAAATGTTATCTAAAAAAACTGATGAATTAATCATATCGAGTATTCGGTCTGGTTTCTTAACTAAAAACCTTTTCTTAGTTTAGCGATCAGTATAATTTACTTCAAAATAAATAATTAAGAAGCCTTATTTTTCTAATTATTATATCACTAACCTTCAATTCAGAGAAGAAATAGTGAATGATGCTAAATAAGTTTGTTACAGTTACTTAAATTTTTTTCTCAGTGTATTATCCGAATTTATACTAATTTTGTTTATTTTTACCAGTGTAACAACCGGCAAAAACGTCAACTTTAAATGTTGACCACCCCGACATCAAAGTGCCCACGCAAGCCTTCGCTTCTGTAATAGGTAGGTTATTCTGTGCCCCTGCCTAAAGGCTTGGTAAGAGTTAGCTTCGAAATCTTACTGAGTTTTTTTTTTGTCGGACATTTAGTGCTTTTACATTTAACTGTATGTTCACTCTGATCTGCATAAAAGGCCGGTTTCAGTCTATCTATGGAGACCTTATTGATCCCTGAGCCATTTACTTCGATTTCGAATAATTTTTCGAAACGACTTAAAACCTTATGAGCCCCAGAAAATGGATGATGGATGGCCTTACGGACTGAATCGACTCTTAAAAACACATTGCTGGATTTATGAAGATCAGTATAAACAATTTATGACAGCTTGCTGTGATTAGAGGTGGAAACTGGACGAAGGTTTCGCATGTGTGACTTTAGATTCTGCGCGAAAGCAACTTCGTTACAGTCTTCCGTACTGTCAACAAAAAATTCCCCTGGAATCCTCAACGGCATACCAAAAGCCATTCAGGTAACGGAACATTGCAGATCTTTCTTAGAACAGCTTTGAAGTCCCAATAAGACCGTAAGAAGAATATCTATTCAATCTTCCGTTTCGTGACACAGTATTGCAGCTTTTAAAACTCTATGCCAACATTCTAACAGTCCATTGGTCTGCGGATGATATACAGCTCCTCGACTCCTTTGGATTCCAACTAAATTGTTAAGTGTTCTTAGTAGTCTAGACTCGAACTGTTTGCCTTGATCACTTTTAATGATACAAGGCGATTCAAAGGTACACATCTAATCGAAGTAAAAAGCTGATGCGACTGTTTCAGCTGTTATATCTGCAATTCGTACACCAGCTAGCTATCTAGAAAACCTGTCAATCGTTGTTAGACAATATTTATAATCCTACGAACATGGAATTGGTCCCATAATGTCTAAGTGGAAGTGTTGAAAACGCTAATTTGGTGACTTCATCTAATTTTTATTGTGGGAAGCGTAATCTAACTCATGTCACTTACCATCTTTGTCGTTTTCCACCATTCTACGGCAATAACTCAATTTTGAATATTATGGCACTTCTCCCCTTTCACCGAACTAAAAAAAGGATACTAATCATGCCATTATGTGTAAAAGAAAATCATAAAATAAAAGATCTGAAACTAATTCCTCTTATAGCTATCGTTCCAAAAAATCCTCTAAATACTATTATTAATTCTAAGAAATAAATTCTGGAAAAGAGGAATTAGTGCCCTAACGTGTTAAATGATCCCAATTTGTCCCGTTCGCGCGACCCCCAGCATATTTGTCACATTACAGGATCGCAGGCGGCATGGAGAATCGTAGAATCCAGAAAAAGCCAACTTCCCTCTCGACTTTTGTTTCCAACCGACGGCCAGAACAGCGCTCCGCCAACTTCCTTTCCATGTAGCTTTTACGGGAGAATATCAATTGCACCCGTCGACTAATAATCTCTTTTAGAAGAATTAGGAAAAGGGAGGGTAAGGACTTGTTATAGCTTTGATTAGTGTTTTAATTGATAAGTTCATTACTAAAATCTGTTTACAAAATAATAAGTATACGGGGTGCGTTACGTTCAACGGGACGGAGACTGATTGGTAAATTACAAAATATTTTAAAAATTCCTTTGGCACAAATTTAGAACCCAGTGGCAGTTACAATTTAAAATTAATTTCATATACACAGGATGTCCCAAACCAGAATACCAATATTTTAATTGTAAGTTCAAATCTTAATAATAATCGTAGTTTAATAAAGATTTCCTAAACTCATCTTTGATTACAAAATAATTAATTAACGAATTTTTGTCAGTTTCTTACAAAATGTACCTTTTCATCAGAAAATATTCAAAAGATGTACAGGGTGTTTGAAATTTGAAGTTTTATTACCGTAAAAGGTTTTATTTAATTACTGTTACTAAAGGAAATTTTATTTACTTTAAAAGTTCTATAAGGTTCCCTATTCCAAAACCTACTATTTTTAGACCTATTATCAATAGTTTATAAGGATCAATAAATTTCAAACGTTTACTAATAATTTCATATTAAACATTTGTAACAATTATTCTAATTAACACCTAAACTAAAAAAAATTTTTTTAAATGTTTACTTACATTGTTTGAAACATTCAAACTAACGGTCTTCAAGGGTATTACGAATACTAATTTTCATAACCTTACAAATTTGTAAATAATTGAACTAAAACTATTAGTAGATGTTTGAAATTTATTGAAACTATTGATAATATGTTTAAAAATAGTAAGAGTAAAAGGAAAACCTTATAGAACTTTTAAAATAAATAAAATTTTCTTCATATTGACACCATAAAAAACAGGCTGTTAACACAGTAATAAAATAAAACATTTTACTGTAATAAAATTTTAAATTTCAAACACTTCGTACATTTTTTGAATATTTTAATAATTCCGATAAAAAGTTACAACATTTTATAAGGAACTGCTAAACATTCGTTAATTAATTATTTTGTAATCAAGAGTAATTAATTTATTTTAACAACACTAAATTTTCAAAAAATATAAAATAAAGCGGAAATTATCAAAGATAGGTATAGAATATTTTTATTGCATTAAAAGTATTTTTAGGAGTTGAACTTAAAATTAAAAGAAAATATAGGATGCCCCCTTAAAAAAAATATAATTTTTTATTGTTATCCTGGTTTGTAACACCCTGTGGATATGACATTTTAATTGAAGCCCTTGGTGTAAAAAAGATGCAAGTCACAATTTGTCGTCAAGTGACTGTTTTAGCTCAAAACATCCGTTACCAAAGATGGAGCTATTTTTCGTAATATTTATATTAAAATAATAGTTTATTTGTATTTAACAGATTTAAAACTCCATTTTCTTAAAACTTACTTAATGCCATATTAAAAATTTTTAATAATTTAGTCGCATATTTATAAAAAAAAGCTCAAAATATATTTATTTTATGTATTAATTAACAAATTCATAGGTAATGTTACAAAAATATTTATTTCTGAATTTTTTTTAGAAGTACCAATGCGATACACAGCAACACATACGTATAAAATATACCAAATACATTCTCGGAAATAAACAAAATATCGCTATCCTAATTAGCAAACCTCTTAACTCCACTTTTTGGTCAAAATGACATTTTAATGCCAACCTTTAGTAAAAGGTATAGTCCATCTGTGCTGAAAATCTCATAACTCCAAAATATTTTGTTAAATAATTATTCAATATAAAGCAAACCCCTTAACTCCAGCGGTTCATTTCTTAAGTTTGCAAACCTGCTAAATCCCAGTAGTAACATTGTATTGATACACAACGTTTGTGCCACCAGGTTCTTTCAAGTTTAATGCTTATTTTCATCATTGTGACCTACAGGTTGTTTTTTATACTTTAACAAGTAAGTACATTACTCTATTTTTTACTGTTTGAAAGGTTAAAACTCTAATTTATTCTAATTAATATGGAGTTAAGAGATTTGCATTCTTAAATTTTTTGAGGTTATGCTACTTCAATATTGGAGTTAAGAGTTTTGACAATATAAAATGCATTTTATCGTTAATCAATTTAAATCGAACAGTCTCTAAATTACCGATTTATAAGAAAACAATATCAAAACAGATTCATTTTTTTTTCCAGAATGTCAAGAAGGTCTGACAAAATAGTGAAGTTAGCCTTGGCTAAAACCAATTCATCTGTGACTTTTTCTGTTAACACTGATGGTTTTTTATCTGAAGTAGTGTCTGAAATCTCTAATGATACAAATTTCCCTGCAGATAACCCTTACCAGGACTTACCTGAAGTTTACATCGAAACAGTAGGCAATTCTCAGAATGTTAATATTGAGAGAGAACAATTATTTGAGAGCGATTTAACCCTAGTTAAAAACCTTGACAATACTTTTCCTGAGCAAAAATATTTGCATGAAACTGACTTGAGCATAGTAGAAAGTGCTAATTTTGCTAGTACCGAGAAATTAAACTTAGGCCTACTTGAAGTTGACTTAGGTTTAGTTGTGAGTTCTAATGTTGCTGTTTCTGAACAAGAAGAGGTACTGAAAACTAACTTAGACATAGTAGAAACTGATATTGCTAGTACCGAGCAATTAGGCTTAGGCCTATTCTTAGTTGTGAATCCTGATGTTGCTGTTTCTGAACAAGAAGAGGTACCGAAAACTGACTTAGACATAGTAGAAAGTGCTGATGTTACTGCTCCCGAGCAAGAAAACCCAGTCCTTACCGAAGTTAGTGAACATGGGCCTGTAGACTTTGATGTTCAGATTACTGATATTACTAATAATGTTACACCTAGTCGAAAACGAAAGAAACGCCATCAAGTTAATAATGCTACGTGGAAGATAAATAAATCGAAAAAAGCTAGGAAGACTGGAAAAGAGTACTTAGGTAAGAAACAAAATGATGCAGGACAGTATGAGTACAACATTAAGATAAATGCCAGGAAAATGAAAGTCCATTGTAAATGTAAAAGAAAGGAAAACAGTTTGTTACAGTGAGCGTTATTAACTGAAATTGAAAGACAAGAGAACTTTAATGAATTTTGGCAACTAGATTGGGAGGGTAAAAGATTATTTGTAAATTTTTTAACCAAAAAAACTGAAACTGCAGGAGCCAGAGGAAGGAAAAAAGATACCAAAAGTGGAAGAAAATACTCATGTCAATATTACTTAAAAAAAGACGGGGGTATTATTAGAGTACGTAAAACTATGTTTCAAAACTCGCTATCTATTACAGAGTGGATGGCTCACCACTGGCAAAATAAACAAAATTATGTTCAAGAAGAAACTGGGGAGAATGGGGATGCGTTACCGGATGACGATGGAAACGAGATTAAGAAATTAAGGAAATCAGCTGCAGTTAAAGCACTGGAAAATTTTCTGCAAACTCTACCTAAATTAGAATCTCATTATTGCAGAAAAAGAACAAGTAAATTGTACTTGGATCCTTGCTGGAAATACAAAAGGGAGCTTTACTTATTCTATAAGAGCAGCTGGTATTCTCAGAAAAATGTAGAATCTCTCTCTGAATGTAAATTTGCCCAAAAGTTCGAAGACATGAACTTGGCCTTGTTACAGTTAAAAAAAGATTCTTGCGATAAGTGTGAATCCTACAAAACTGGAAACTTAAGCAATGAAGATTATGAAGCTCATGTGCTGAGAAAAGACGAAGCTAGTGGAAAAAGAGACAGACAAATTTAACCCAAATTATGTGACTTTCACAATGGACTTACAATCCTTGTTGCAGTCTCCTAAGTCTACTGTGTCTGCACTGTATTATAAAATGAATCTTTCAATCCACAATTTCATAATCTTCAATTTAACAACACATGATGTTTTTGTTTTCTTTGGAACGAAACTGAGTGTGGTCTATCTTCAAATTAGTTTGCCACAATAATTTCTAAGTTTTTGCAGTCACAACTCTCTTTGCCTGAAGAAAAGACTACACTGGTACTATACAGTGATGGAGGTTCATACCAGAACAGGAGTTTAACTGTGGCTAATGCTTTAGTTGCATTTTTCCTGCACAAATAACATCGTAGTCGAACAAAAATATCTAGAAGTGGGTCATACCCAAATGGAGGCAGACACAATGCACTCCATGATTGAGAGAAAGCCAAAAATGTAAAAATCAATGTCCCAGCAGATTACACAAATGTTTGCATAGAAGCCAGGAAAACACCAGCTAAATACAATGTCGAGTATTTAGAACACACATATTTTAAGAACTTTCAGAATTATCTATTCTTCAATAGTATTAGGCCAGGCAGAGGAATCGGGGATCCTCGTGTGACAGACATCCGTGCTCTCCAATACCTTCATGGTGGAACAATCAACTTTAAGTTACACTTTTTGGACCAATGGCAGCCTTTACCTTAGCGAAAAAATCAGAAAATTGAAACAATGGCTCTTGAAAATTTTCCGCATCTGTACGATGAAAGGTTCGCAATCAAACGAAGGAAGTTTGATGATCTGCAAGAACTCAAGTCCATTTTAGAAAAAGACTACCACAATTTTTACGACAATATTCCCTTTTAGGTTTTCATAAATCAATATTTTGTAACATGCCTTTGATTGGAACAATATATTTTATACTTTTATAATAAAAGGCCGTTTATTTGGATAATTAAAAATTAATTTTGGTTTATTATTCACACCAGCTATACCTCTACCATTAAGAAAAACTCGTATCTCCAAGATAAATTATGAGAAAAACTCTTAACTCCTGCAGGAAAAGTAAGGTATAAGAGAAAGGTAATTTTAGCATTTTATAATGTTAAAAGAACATTTTAAAAATTATTTAGTTTCATGTTATCATTTTTTCATTGATAACCATTATATAACAATGTTTTTTTACGTTCCTGAAAAGTTTGACATTTTGGAGTTACGAGGTTTGCTAATTAGTGTAGCGATATGTAACAAAGCGGACCTGGTATGCGAACATTGTCCTGCCACAGATAAGGATGGAATTAGCATTTTTATATGCGGCGGGGGGTTAAAATTAACCAAGACATTATAATCCCTAAGAAAGCTAAAACAAAAAATACTTAACATAAAAAATGGGTGAAACAAAAAATACTTTTTAACTGTTAATAGGTAAAAAAATCTAGTCAAATAAGAAATCTGCATACACTTTTCTTTTATTAAAAAATAATTTAGGGTACAAAATAATAAACGTGTATTTGTTATTTTTATTATAACAAACTCTTTAACTGGAAATTAGTAATTCCGTGTTCAAACACGAAATTTTATATTCGAACTATATTTTTTAATGGCATATTTACAGAATGTTCTTGGACGACTTGGAAAATTCGAGGTGGGGGAGGGGGAAATACGGATGCTCTGAAAATCCTCATAATTTGGTCCGAAATATTCTACTTGAACAATTTAACCTTAAATTACCTTTTCAGGTGGTCTTGGAGGCTGGAGGGGAGTGGGGATAAAATACTATTAACACCGAAACGTTCGACCTTTGGTTTCCATTCACGACGGACATTATTATTAGTCAATTTTCATTCGGAAGTAGATTTTGTTTTTTAGATGCGCATATTTTGGTATAAGTTTTTTTTAGGACGTTTCTTTATTTTTCGAAATATGACATCACCAGTTTTTTTAGATAGCACCATCATTTTGATAGTATCATTTAATAGAAACACAGGCAAAAAAATTCTAAACCGGTCCCCATTTCTTCACTTTTTCTAGAGATAACCATTGTAAGATCAACTAGTTAAATAATACCAATGCAAATTATCTTGGAGGACAATGGACAGTCTCAATAGATGGTAGCAAGCTCCGTGGTGTCCAAGTCATGTCTTTGATAATTTTGTCGTCTTCTACCAAGCCATCGAACTGTTGTAGAAACTGAATAACGAAAGGAATTTCTCTATTTACTAATAGATGGAACGATAATCGATTCAGAATATTTGTTATAAAAATGAGATATACGAGTTTAATTATGCATGACGAACATTTATTTACGATTTTGATAATTTTAGAGAATATAAACAATATTAACTTAAATGAATTTAAAAATTAAGAAAACTTTATATACATAGAATTCTATACTCAATGATCGAGGGACCGTCTAGCACAAAAGCCTTTTGGTGAAGGTCTGTACAGTTCTAACATAACATAAAGTTGATCTACTAGGATATTTATATACAATTGGATTTATAAAACATCCCCTTAATTTACCCCACTCTTATTATTTGGGCTAAAGAGGCAAGGAGGGTAAACTTAAAACGCTAGACAGGGCATTATTTTGATCCGATTCAAATGACATATGGGCGTCAGGGACTAGAACTTAAGAAATAAGACCAACCTGGAAATGAAATTAAAGGAAAAATATTATGCAGGGACCAAAGAGGGCGAGACTTTTGGTACTACTTACGCCATCTCTCTTTTCAAAAGTCGGCAAAAATAAAAATCTGAGGATATTCAAAAAATCCGTATTTACCCATCTCTCATCAAGATCCCCAAGTCACCCAAGAGTAACCTGTAAATAGACCTTTTCAGTTTATAATTCGAAAATAAAATGCCGTGTTCGAAAATGGAATTCTTTGTTCGTACACGAAATTCTTTGTTTGAACACGAAAATTCCGTGTTCGAACACGAAATTTTAGATTTCCGTGTTCGAATAAAGAATTCCCAAATTTTAGAGATAAAAAAATTAAAATATGTGGCCCTTCTACGCTGCCGTAGGTACGTGCCTCCCAACAACTTATTTTCTTAACATTTTCATAAGGCTCATTCGACGATTGCTCACCTACAAGAAATATTAAACTCTCCGCCATTTTTTCTTTCCAACGCTTTAAAGTAGTGCGTGAGTTTTCATGCGCGTGACTTATTTTCTTATGACTGATTTTTGGCTTATTTTTAAATTGTTGTTATTATTTCCACAAAATACACATCCTCTAGCAATTTCGCTGTGCCATGACTTATTTTTAAAAGTGGACGTTAGTACCAAAGCAAGATAAAAATTATATCTTTTCACTGAATTAATGTCCATTAAAAATAGTGGGCCGGTTTTCGTGTCCAACGAAAATAAAGATTTAAAAATAATTATTGGTTCAAATATAAAAACGCAACTTTGTCTAAATGGATGAAAATAATCACTCGTGGGTTTTTGAGGTCAGTGGAAACGAATCTGTTATCAGAATTTGAAAACGTTGATCTCCATATGACTAAATTAACAAAGTATAATAAAAAATACAATATCTAAATACTATAGGTCAAAAAGGAATGATGTAGTGTTGTTTAAACCGCATCTGTTGTAAGAATTTAAAAATATTGATTGCCTTATTGCTAAATTAACAGAAAATAATAAACAAATAACTATATATTTGATCAAAAAGGGATAAAATAATGTTATGAGTATGTTTTCAATATAACATAAAAGTGGATAAAAATCATAATTTCTAAGTATTCAGTGTCGGTGAGGATTATAAAAAGAATTGTGTTTTCCGAAAATCAAAATATTTTTCTTTTTTAAATGTACGAAACCGTTATAGATTCTATTTGATCAACATAGACTAAACTACAAATTTTATTTTTATTTAAAATATTATTTTTTTAGTATTAAATTATACGCTATACATTGGTTTCTTCATCTTCAGATCTTGAGCCACTTTCGTCAGTTTCTATATCGTCATCGCTCTCTCCAATTTCAACATTTTCTCCTGAAAAATCAATATTTACTTAGGTCGGCTAGAGGTGGAATATAAATTAATATTAATAAAAAAAATAATACTAAACTGGAAAAGAAGTCTGATACTTTAAGAAAATAATATACACTATGTCCCAAATTGGTGCTGCATGTATTGCTATCTCGGTTATTATAAGAGCTACAAAATCGGTTAAATGGGCAATGTTTCTCAGAACTGCTATTACATTTTGTCAATTATTTTTTGTTTTTGAATAAATCGCGAAAAACCAAAATGGTGGGTTTTTGACAGTCCCCCGTATCTAGATTATTTGAAAACATACATTATTTTCATCTAGACATTCTATGGACACTTTTTTAAGGTATTTACAATAAAAAATAAAACAAAAGAATATCTTTTTCCGTTTTTGAGATATTGACTATAACTTTGTTTTTTCTTATGGACGCCATATTGGATTTTTATTGCATTAAAGAGAATTGTTAATTCCCTTTTTAAAAATGTATCGCAACATTTTACTATCTTTCAAATGAATGCTGAAATAAACAAATCTGAAAATGTCCTAATTAATTTTGCTGCTCTACTCAATTTGGTCTAGTAGGCGAGCCAAAAATATGTTTTAGAACTGTCAGATTATAGTCGGTTTAATTTGAACTTTATAAAAACCATATAAAAACAAGAATTTTGCGATAATTTTTGGAACAATTTACAATATAAGCTTCAGATATAAACTGTCTAATTTAATGAAATTTGACAACGATTTGGCAGAGAGTTTAATGCTCTTAATAATCTGTTTCTATTCACTGCACCCATATTGTTTCTGGAGCTTCAAATGAGTA